CTATATCAATTAAAGGCAGTACAATAAATGGTTTAAAGTAATACATTTTATTTACATTGTACTAGTATTTATTTGTTTATTTGCATTACATTAATGAGAAATTTGGCTGAAATTAAAATTATGCTGAAAGTTTACAAGCATTTTAAAACCTTGTTTTGAGGTTATACAGGCATGATCCAAACAGTCCCAATTGTAGTAATTGTAAAAACAGACTATATTTGGTATACAAATAGTTTAAAGTAATAATGAAAGAAAAGTAAATAAATAAATATTTATTTGCATTACAAAAATTAGACATTTAACATTTTGAAAATGATAAAATTTGGCTTGAAACATTAGTCTGAAAATAATTTTTAAATCTTGAGTGTATATGTATATATATATAGAGGCCAGGCTATATGTGTATACAAACTGTTTAAAGTAATATTTATTTAATTTAATTTTTTGCATTACATTATTAGCCAATTTACTTTTTTCTTTTGACTTTACAGTGAATTATGACCCAGACACATTCTTGACAGGTCTTGACAGTGAGATTCTGAGTTTTGAATGGGATTATTAGATCCATGACTGTAATATTGCAGCACATTATACAGAAGTGTTGTCTTCTTGTCTGCACCTGCTTCAGATGAGGAGTTCTCTCTGTTGAGCAACCTGACCCAGGCCCTGTCCACGGATGAAGAGCAGTACGTGGTACGGCTGGCCAACTCCCTCTTTCTGCAGACGGGGGTTCACTTCAACGAGGACTTCCTGCAGCTCATGAAGAAGTACTTCAAAGCAGAGGTGGAGACGGTAGACTTCAGCCAATCAGCAGCTGTGGCTGAACGCATCAACTCTTGGGTGCTGAACCACACGGAGAGTAAGTCATCGATCATCACTGAGGAAAGAATATATTCAGACTAGATGTGTGCTGTTATGTATTTGAAACAGTATCCTTGTTATTTACTAAGACCTGATGAAATGGCTTGACAAAAAAAGTTTGTACTCTTGTATTGACGTCTCTCCTGTTGACATAGAAAGTTGGGATGTAGTGAAAAGTTTGTTCTTTTATAAGTACAAGTAGAGATGGCCTCAAAGCTAATAGGGAGTAGAAGTAAAAAAAATCTTATAGTTATATACTTTGAATATATAAGTTTGGGGTCTGTAAGATTTTTTATTGTTTTTGAAAAAGTCTCTTGTGCTCACCAAGGCTGCATTTATTTGTTTAAAAGATACAGTAAAATCAGAAATATTTGTAAGAAATATATATTTCACATTTAAAATACTGTTTTCTGTTTGAACATGTTTTAAACGTCTTCAGTGTCACATGATCCTTCAGAAATCATTCTAATATGCCGATTTATTCTTTGATAAACATTTATTATTATTATCAATGTTGAAAACAGTTGTGCTGCTTCATATTTTTGTGGAAACTTCATTTTTCTTTGATGAATAGAAAGTTCAAAAGAGCAGCATGTATTTTAAATAGAAATATGTTATGTTATAAATGTATTTACTGTCACTTTTCAGCAATTTAATGCATCCCTGAAGGGTGCTGGATATATATATATATATATATATATATATATATCCATATATATATATCCAGGTGTTAAGAGGAATTACTCTGACTTTAGTGAAGGAGGACAGTAAAGTAGATAATGGCATGATAATGACATTCCCTAGCCATTTGATCCATTTTCTCACAGTCAGCTTTCGCCTTTCCAGGAGGACTTTCAGATAGCAGCACAAATCCCAGAGCTTTAGAATTAGAGATGATTTTATGCCACTGAAGAGATCATGCTGTCTTTCCTGTTCTGAGAAAGAGAGGATTGTGACGTGCAGCATTTATTTCAATCTGGGTTTTTGTTGTTGTTGCAGGCAAAATCCAGAACCTGGTGTCTGCGGACGACTTCAGCAGCTCCACCATGATCATGTTAGCGAATGCAGTGTACTTCAGAGGCAGCTGGAAGAACCAGTTCAGACCAGAAAACACCAGAACCTTCTCCTTCACCAAGGATGATGGCAGTGAAGTTCAGACCCTGATGATGTACCAGCAGGGTGATTTCTACTACGGTACGAACAGGCTTGAATAGGTTAAGACGTAGATTCAGTAGTTTCTTGATTATTTGTTTTGTTATTCGCTGTACAAGTTTCCTACAGAATGATTGCAGAGGTTTAAGCTGACAAGGAAAGCCAGTCAAGGCAAAATTTGAAGGTTGACTTAAAATTCTGAAAGTTTAAAATAAATGTCAAAGGTTATTATATAGGCCTGATCAATGCTCCCTCTAGCCATACAAATAATTATTTTAATATTTTATTCTCTTCAACTATACACACACAACCGTTTAAAAGTTTTGGGTCAGTAATTATTATTATTATTTTTTTTTTTGAAAGAAATTTGGCAAGGATGCATTAAATTGATCAAAGGTAAGAGTAAAGACAATTATAATGTTTTAAAATAAGTCAAATAAATGCTGTTCTTTTAAACTTTTTATTATCAAAGAATTCTGAAAAAATCTCGGTTTCTACAAAAATATAAGGCAGCACAAATATTTTTACCAATGATAGAAAGAAATGCAGTAAATCAGCATATTAGAATGATTTCTGAAGGATCATGTGACACTGAAGAATGGAGTGATGTTGCTGAAAATTCAGCTTTTCATCCCAAGAATAAATTACATTTTAAAATATATTCTAATAGAAAACTGTTATTTTAAATTGTAATAATATTTCACAATATCACTGTTTTTACTGTGTTTTTGATCAAATAAATGATTTAGACTTGGTGAGCATAAGAGACTTCTTTCACAAACGGTTTCTGCATGGCTCACTGCTGATTGGTTGGGCTGAGTCTTACAAATCCTGCAGAATAACTGCAGTGCGCTTGTCTCATCCATCTCTCTGACAAAACAGAGAAAGAGAAAGACAGATGAAGGTAAATGTGGAGCAGGGAGACAATGAAGGAGTAAACCGAGCAACAGCACAAATTGAGTGGGAAAACGCATGAGTAGCGTCTGTGAAAGTGAGAAGCAAGAGATACAGTACAGAGTCTTCTTACTCAGAGAAACAGAGCTTTCTTCAACACTTGCATCAGTAGCTCTTAAAAACAGGAAAACCAGCATTACATACATGGAGGAGATTGACAATGGCGGAGTACAGAATCTTAACTTTAAAACTTATGGCTAAATGTCATAATTAGCTGATAAGATCTTTCAAAACCAACATAGTATGTCGATCCAGGGTTATTATAGTTAACTAAAACTAAACAAACTAATAAATAAAAATAAAAACAAACTAATAAAACAAATAAATGTTCAAAATAAAAAATAAAACCTCAATTAAATATGAAAAATTGTTTCCAGAGCAACATTTCTTTAACTTGATGTGCTAAAGTAACTTAACATTTAAATACAACAGAAACTAATAAAAATGACAAAAACACAGAACAAAATTACCAAAAATTAACATGAAAGCAGATATAATATAAAAATAAAATCTAATTCAAAATATTATCAAAAAAATACAACAGTAGTAATATAACAAGTCACACTAATTCTGTTGTCCATCTCAGGGTTATTATGTTTAACTTAAAGTAAAACCAGAAAAAAAAAATTATTGTCGAAATAAGCTAAATGTTAACTGAAATAAAATAAAATATTATAAAAATGACAACTATTTTATTTCAACTAGTTGCTGCCACGGCAACATTTCTCAGTTTTTTTGGATTTTTTTTTTTTTTTTTTTGCTTCAACACTAAGACTAAATAGCCTAAAAATAATAAATAAAAAATTATAAAACACTATATAGACATATTTAAATAAAGTAAAAATGACAAAAACACAAACAATTTAAAATACTTTAAAATTAAAGTGAAAACAGAAAATATACAAATAATCTAATTCAAAATATAAACAAAAACTCTAAGAATATACAGTATTAAAGTGCCCCTATTATGCCTTTTCGAATATTACCTTTCATGCAGTGTGTCCTGTAGCTGTATGTGAACATAAACTATCTGCAAACTTGTGAAGCCGACAGTGCACGATAAATAAAGTTATTGTCTATCAAAAAAAAAGAGTCTGCTCGCAATCGCCTAAACGAGTCATCAGGAATTCGAATCTTATTCTGTTACGGCTCTACGTCACGAAGTAACACATTTGCATAATGTCCGCCCACGTTCTACGTCGCCAACTTGCCCACCCACAAACAGTAAAATTTCCTTGTCAAGAAGATGCTGTATCCTATGCTGTGAGAGTAAATTTGTTTTATCACATCTTATAATTACCACACTTGTTAACACTTGACACTTACCACTGAGAAACGTCCTGCTCCAGTCGTGCTTGCGAATCAGTCTCTTGTCGATCAGCCAGTTCAACCGTTTCATCATCAGACTCCGGCTCCAATTGGTACGGTTCAATCGATACCATCTTTTCTACGTATTGAAAAGTCTCCAGGGCTGTCATTCTGTCATGACAATCGGCGTTTCGTTTCCGACACGCGCTGTACGCGGTAGACCAATCCAGAGCCAATCTCGGACCAATCACAAAGGACTGCGCCATCTGACCAATCACAGCAGTGAGGGCTCTCGGAAAGGAGGGGTTTAGAGAGACTGATTTTTTTAACTGCTTCGCATGAGTCGTTTACGAATCATTTAGAAATGAGGTAAAATTAAATCTATTTTTTGAGAAAACGAACGTGTTTTTTGACCTTGCATGCATGTAAACCTGTTTTAGGAGACTCATAAAACAATATTAGCAACCTTAAAAATGGCATAATAGGGACACTTTAATGAAACTTAAATAACACTGATCCACCTTCATCTTACCGAAGCCCTTTCCATCTTCAGAAACACACAGTATAAAGTAATCGCTAACCTCATCATGTTCTTCATCCTCAGGAGAGTTCAGCGATGGCACCACAGAGGCGGGTGGAGTGTACCAGGTGCTGGAGATGCTCTATGAAGGTGAAGACATGAGCATGATGATCGTTCTGCCCCGTCAGGAGGTTCCTCTGGCCTCTCTGGAGCCCATCATCAAAGCGCAGCTGCTGGAGGAGTGGGCCAACAACGTCAAGAGGCAGAAGGTGGAGATCTACCTGCCCAGGTGAGACACACAGTGTTTTCATTTCATTTATCAATACGTTTGCTTTTAGATTTGATTCATGTAAAACCTGTATACTTGTTGTTTCTGGATCACACTGACCTGATCATTCGGATATATTTAGGTTCAAGGTGGAACAAAAGATTGATCTGAGAGACACTCTGCAGCAGCTGGGCATCAAGAACATCTTCACTAAAGATGCCGATCTGTCAGCCATGACAGCCGAGATGACAGGTAATCGATAAAACACACGCACTGACCTATGGGAGCGCTCTGTTATTCCACACACGCACACAGATGCTCGGGATGTGATTGACGGCTCAAGGACGGGATGTAACGCACTTGTTCTGCCCTGGCAACCAGCCAGCATTGTGGTGGTGATTTTTGCTTGCACAAGCACCACTCACATTTTCTCCAGCAAATGTATCTATTTACCTATTATTTATTTACATATACTATATAATAATAATAATAAAAGATGTTTCTGTGTTGCGTGTGGTGAAAATGACCAAAGAAAATTAAGAATCAAAGAAAAAAAAATACCTTGCTGTCAATTTTGAGGGTCTGTGTGGAAATGTGATACCATTTCTTGTTTTGTTTTTTTTGTTTGTTTGTTTTTCAACTTTTTTTTTTTAAATATCAATATTTTAAACCAAAAGGTCATATCAAACAAGTATTTAATGTGACTTTAACACCACCTAGACATTTTAAACACACCAAAAATAGTAATATTAATTAAAAATATAAATAAAAAAAAACACTTAAAAGACTTTTTAAAAATACTGTAATACCTTTCTGACAATTTTTCAGGTTCAATATTATTTTATTAATTTTTCTTGTTCAATTCATTATTTTATTTGACACATTTCAATATTCAATATTATTATTATTTTATTATTATTTGACTTTTTTATTATTATTATTATTATTATTATCTATTTTAGTATTAAATATGCCTATAAAACTATACTCTGTGAATAAGCTCAGCTGTATGTTCATTATACTCTGCTCTGCATCCCTGATTACACCAGCTCATAAATAAATGGAAATAACTTGTTAAGCATATTCAGTCTTTTATTCATATTCTTTCATCTTTTTCATTTACATTTTCTGTTTGTCTACAGACGGACAGGATCTGTTTATCGGGAAGGCTGTGCAGAAGGCTTACCTGGAGGTGACGGAGGAAGGGGCCGAGGGGGCGGCAGGATCAGGTGACGTTTATCTCTATTTTACTATAATTACAGTATACATTTCATATTCTCACTCTGTCCTCCTCCACACTTCAATCATCTTTTGCATTACTAATTAAAATTTTTAAATTCTGATAAATAAGCTTTTCAAGCCCTCTTTATCAGTTACTCAGTTTTACCTTTTGTGCTCCTTTACTTTCCTCCCTGTCCTTTTTTTCTGTCTGTTCTCCAAGCGCTTTTTCTCACTGCAGTAAACTGCTTTGTGAATCTTGTACATTCACACATACTAAAGCACCCCCTCCTGTTCAACATGTGTTTTTTAATTAAGGTTTATCAAAGGTTGACTTGAGTCATCACATAGTGTTGGTTAAATCCTTTTAATATTAGTTTTCAGCTCTGCATTGACATCAAAAACAAATAAAGAGGTGCGAGATTATGAAAAGAAATTAAAAATCTTTGTATTCACACTGGTTTCATGTTACGTTTGTATCATTTTCAGATCAAATTAATTACTAAATTAGTGTACCTTTTAATCAGCAAATGTATTCATCTATTTATATATTCTATATTATTTTTAGTATTATTATTAATAATAAGCGTAGTTCTGAAGATCATATAAATGAATACAGAATGCGTTTATAGCTGAAATTCTCTTGTTTTCTGTGTTGGGTGTGGTGAAATTGAAGTTGTTGCCAATTTAAAAAACAAACAAAAAAAATTTCAGTCATTTTAAGCCTACCAAAAAAATAGCACAATTAATTTTAATTCAAAAATTGAAAACTTTTTTATTATAAAAGAGCATAAAATGAAAAAGTACATTGACATAATTGTCTTTTTGCACTGCATATGTCACTGAGCCACTATTGTTTGCCCTTCTACAGGTATGATTGCATTGACGAGGACGCTGGTGCTGTACCCACAGGTCATGGCTGACCACCCCTTCTTCTTCGTCATCAGAAACAGAAAAACAGGTACATGCCATCTTCAAAAACCTATATATACTCTACTGTTCAAGTAAGATAAGGCTCACCAAAGCTGCATTTATTTCATCAAAAATATATTAAGAACAGTAATATTGTGATATAATTTTTTTTTTAAAGGGGTCATATGATGCGATTTCAAATTTTCCTTTCTCTTTGGAGTGTTACAAGCTCTTGGTGCATAAAGAAGATCTGTAAAGTTGCAAAGACTAAAGTCTCAAATCCAAAGAGATATTCTTTATAAAAGTTAAAGAGTCAACCTCGCCTACCTAAAACGGCTCGTTCTAACACGCCCCCACATACCTACGTCACATAATGTGTTTTTTGAACATTAAAGCATGTCAACATATTCTGTTACACCAAATAATGATCTTTAAAATAGCATCATATGACCCCTTTAAATGTAAAAAGTTTTTTTTTTTTTAAATGTAATTTATTTCTGTGATGCCAAGCTGATTTTTCAGCATCATTTCAGTTTCATTATAAATGTTGTTACTGTCACTTTTGATCAATTTAATGCTCCCTTGCTGAATAAAAGTAAATATAAATAAAAGTAAAGTAAAATAACAAAAATAAAGCAATTTATTTGAAAAAATTAAATCTTACCGACCTCAAGTTATTAAAAATGTGTTTTACACCAAACATATTTTAGTAATGTGTGTTATCTTGATATTTGTTCTGTGAATGTATCCAATTTTATGTTAAATAATTGTTTTTATTTTGTTTTCTCATAGGATCCATCCTCTTCATGGGCAGAGTTATGAATCCTGAAGTCATCGAGCCCTTCGACAACAACTTTGACATGTAAACGCCTAGCAATCGCAATGTGACACTCAAACGAATTAACGCTTATTTTCAACATCATCACGGAAAGCAAGCTCATTACGTCGCCATGGTTTTCTAAACACACGAGAAAATATTATATAAACGGGATATTTATATGATAAAAGTGATTGTGTTTTGATACTCGTAAGCTTTAACCACACCAGGAAGTACAGAGCTGTAAATATTTGAAGTCTCTGCAACCACTCCATTCACGTCTTATTCCACACCAGCATCATTCGTTCCTGTATTTCTTCTCTTGTATATTTGCTATTGTGTTCCGTAGAAAAAACGTTGATACTTATTGCAAGAATGTGAGCACTTCTCTATATGTAGACTCACTTAATGTCTTTTAATTTCTTTTCCCTGTTTTTGGTTTTGAACATGGCTGAAGTACTGCTGATATACTAATATGCCTTATTATATAAATATGAGTTTTGGATTTAATGAAAGGTTGCGAATGTACAGGTAGTGGAGCGCTGTTGCCATGGAGACTCAGGCGAACCTGGGGAGAGTGCATTTGGTATAAGTGATGAAAAAAATACCAGCTGTATTCTCTATTTCAGAATTAAAGATGAATGTCTTCAACTTGTCGCCTTGTGCTCAATTTGATGCAAAATATAGATACAGAAAAAGACTCTATGCTGTTTACACACTGTCAGCACACAGTTTTGATGTCCAAAATAACCTCTATCGAAAACTATAACTATTCATCTCAAAGACAGACAATAATTTATTAATTTACTGCTGATAAATGCACTTTATCATAACAGTTTATTTATTTTTTATTATTATTGTTAAAGGAAGTTGTAGGGAAAATACACATTAATTCAGGTTGGTAATATTCATAACATGTCTGGTGTGCTATTTTGCATGGTAAATGTCAGTCAGATTATATTTGTCCTTTGCCAAAACATGAGAAGACGCTCAAAGCAGTGTTCAAACAGAGCAAAGTGCCTATGATAAGACCAACTGTGTTTCATCTCTACTAAAACTAGTTGATGTTTTATCAAAATGAGAGATGCTTGCAGTGAAATACTTACATAATAACTAGAAGTGTGCTGCTGCAGAAGATAAGACTCAAACCATGATGAAGACCGTCTGTTCTTGTGAAGTCCAAGCACAGTCTGCTGATTGATGACCACTGCCATGACCCGCCTGAATGAAGCTGGACTTCTGTTTGGTTCATTTCTGAAACACAACATTGATCGATTCTTAACCTGTGGAGAGGAATACAGTAAGCTTAGGCAAATAAATGAATAAAAAAAGTTTGTTTGGCCTTTTGTGAATATGCTCCTTACGTAATTGCTGCTAATTTTGTTTTTCTAGCAAAATGTAACCAATAAAACAAAAATGCAATTACTTAATTATATAAAATTGCAAACGTTTTAATCTGACAAGCCCCAATAGGCGACTAAACCACTGCCTGAGAAAACAGTTGTTTGTGCAACTGAGTCAAAACTTTGAACTATACTTATATACTTGATATCATTTATGTAAGTTACTGTCTATTTATATCATATTCTAATGTTACCAGAATATCACTTGAGCAAGAGTGCCTAAAATCAGCAGCCTCGTGCCGAAAGTCACCATACCGATTGTTTCTGTGATAGTTTTTTTTAAACAACAGTTCAATAGACAAAAACAACACTTACTTACACTTTAAACACAATATTACCCCTTCTTTCGGGTATTTCGGGGAAAAACTTCCAATGCAGAATCAGCCGTTGCGTATCTCTGAGCAACTCACAGCAGAGAATGAATCAGTGTGTTTCAATGAATCGTTTGAATAAATGATTCAATGACTCACTCATAAACCACTCACTTGTATTGTTTCTCAATGAATCAGTGTTGTAAACGAATCGGTTTAATGAATTATTAAATGATTCACTCAAAAAGGTGGTCACTTGTCGCCATCGATGTAATTTGCAAAGAGTCGATGGATATTTATTTATTTATTTATTTATTTGGTGTGACTAATTGTAATAGCATATCCTATATAAATTCAAGTTTTGAGTTTTGCTTTTACTGAAAGAGATGTACATTCTTATTTATTATTCATTCATTCATTCATTTCAGTTCATTTAAATGGTCCTGTGGTGTGACATTCCTTTTCAAAAGTACAAAATGGTCTATCTCACAAAGCCTGCATGTACAATAACTATATGCTAATTATTTACAGCATAAACGGGGTACAGCTATATATTGACATTTCACAGCTATACTGCATTTTCCAAAAGTCACTGAAGTGCAACCTTAGACACACTGATGCCCTGACTGACCTCCGTGCGCAGAGCATTGAAACCGACGCTGCCGCGCGCATGCGCAGAGCTCACTCCCACCTGTCGCACTTGAGCACACATTCATCCAACATCAATGGGAAACCGCACTATATTCCTTTTAAGTAACTCACTTCACTGCGTGTCAAATGCCAAAGGGATCTGTCAGAACCAACGGACATGTCAGAAAGGTAGGAACAGTTTTGAAAAATATCTCCTAATATGGAGCACATTTGCCGTTTTATTTCTGAACACTGCCTGAAACCGAAAATAAACGCGTACTCATATGGCTTTTAATTTAGATTTCTCTACTTTAATCGTCTTTAGAAAACTGCTGATATACTTTTCTGCATAATTTATGGGAATTACCACTGGAACATGAAGATCGACCCTAATTTATTAATGGGTTAAAAATAAATTATTACGATATTGCCACAGTTATAAAGGCATTATATAAACGATTGCCGTGTTACAGCTGTTATATGTTATTGTAAACACTTTGTAAAATAATGTACATTTACAGGCAGCAGTTTCACATGACATACTACATAATCAATAGCCATTAACAGCGTTAAGATGTGAGCTGAAATTCTCAAATGTTCTGATATATTGTGCTCGGGTGTCGTGGGTGACTTTAATCCGGATCAGGGTGCAGAGTTCACGGTAATCTACACCAGAACCTCAGCCCAGCGGATGTAAGGACGCGCAGGCTCTCGTTACACACAGGCTGTGTCTCAAAACCTTCTGAGTGCCCTACATAGGCAGCACACTGTTTGCCTGCAACATTTTTGAGAGTCATATGATTAACATCTTGAATTTTATAAACATGTTCATGTAATATGTTACACTCTGCCTTCTAGATAGTCAGCTCACTAGGTTTTGAGATACAAACAAGGACTTGTCTCTATTTGTGCAAATTTTTGGTATTTAAATATTTGTATTTGGTTACACTCCATTATAAATGAACATTCACTAATAGCTAGAAATATATTGAAACTGTGATTAAAATACTTAAGATTTCAGCCTGTGATCTCCGTTAAGCATTAGGCCTCTGTAATGTTTGTTAATGGCTCTCGCTCTAGTTCCTCTGGAGTGAACACCAGCAGTGAAAGTTTCCCCAAGTCTCACTCGCACTACTCTGAGTTAAGCGACACACACACTCCTTTCTCTGTGGAACTGACTCCAGACTCTGGCATTGTTGCCACTCCAGTAAGTCGATTCAAAGTCATTCATGAAGTGTCGCGTGTGGTTTGATTGACAGCTCACGTGTCTAAATGAACACTGAATGCTGTCATTGTGTTTGTTCCATGCAGTTGCCATCCAGTCGGTTCAGGTTTGCCTCGTGGCACTGGCTAGAGGAGCATGATGTGCGTGGAGACCAGCTCGCCTACCCCAGGGTCAGAGAGGGTAAGAGGTCATTCGGGGTCACCCTTCTTTTATATATTTTTTCAGTGTTACCATAATACAATCACAGAACACACATCAATCGTCAAACAGGGCCTGATGAAGACGAGCTGTCCGTTAACAGTGAAGACATATTTCTCAGAGGAGGCAGGAGGAAGAGGAGGGAGGATGAAGGACAGAAATGGGAGGAGAGACTCCAGGAGAACTGGGAGAACTGTGTGGTGAGACACCAAGCTATCTATCTATCTATCTATCCATCCATCCATCCATCCATCCATCCATCATCTATCCATCCATCCATCCATCCATCTATCTATCTGTCTATCTATCTATCTATCTATCTATGTTTTAAAGTAATTAATACTTTTATTCAGCAAGGATCAAACTGATCAAGTGTGACAGTAAAGGCATTTAAAATCGTACAAAAGAGTTCTATTAAAAATAAATAATGCTTTTTATTCATCAAAAATCCTAAATGAATGTGTCATGTATTTTCCACAAAGATATGAAGCAGCACAACAATTTTCAACATTGATAGTAATCAGAAATGTTTATTGAGCAGTAAATCAGCATATTAGAATGATTTCTGAAGATCATGTGACACTGAAGAATGGAGTAATGATGCTGAAAATTCAGCTTTGATCACAAGAATAAATTACTTTTTAAAATATACTCATTTAAATATATTCATATCTTCAAAAACAGTTATTTTAAATTGTAATAATATTTCACAATATTCCTGTTTTTACTGTATTCTTTAACAAATAAATGAAGACTTGGTGAGCATAAAAGCCTTTCAAAAACACAAAAAAATCGTATAGATCTCGATATCTGTCTAGCGACCAGCTGGTTATCTTCGTATTGCGTTTACGGTTCTGTCTCTGTGACCCCAGGTGCTGAACTTGTCTTATCAGGACTTAGGAGATCCGTACCAGCTGGAGAACTTCATCCGCATCCTGAGGAGACTGATCCGGGTGGAGCGTCTGCAGCTGGTGGATAACGCACTGAGAGATCTCAGTTCTGTCAGACTGCCAAGGTACCAAACTAACCTCTACACTATAACAACTGAAAGATGTTCTCATTTGAGTGCACATGAACATCATTCTGAATGCTGCTGACACTGTAAATGAGTTTAGATGGAGATCTGGTTTGTGGTCTGTGGACCATATAACACAAACTCCCTCTTGATCTTTCCATGGAGGCTGTCCTATTATATTGCATTGGTTGTTTTGTAACAGTATGTGTATGGCTGTGTAAAAAAACATGTAGTGCAACTTTAGCTGCGTGCTGTAATCTCATATGACGAGTTTATTTTACAGTAAGAAGGAAGCTGTTAATTATGTATTAGCATCAAACTCAGTGTTAAAAACAACCTTAATCACATTATTTTATTTGAATATGGGTCTTACTGATAGATGGTTAAATTTGCATTGCATTTGTAATTCTGTGAGGTTTTGTGGGGGAAAAAATGTCAAATTTCAGGATTTTTAAAATGTATTTATTTAATTGTCCTTCAGATATTCAGGACACATGTTGTGCTTTTTTCTTGCGAAAACTAAATATGAAAAATATATTTTTCTTAGTAAATGACAGTGGCTATTTGGACACTAGATAATTAGACATTAATCCTGCTTGCTTTACTGTTTTGTCATCTAGTGCAATGACAATAATACAGAGTTCAGTGTATATGAGGTAGAACATAATTTGTGACATATTACAATCACTAGCAAAACTTGATTGAGAATGCGCATTTGTTATAGATGTAAAATCCTGAATCTTCACCGGAACAACTTGACGTCCATTCGTCAGCTGCCAAAGGTTCCTGAGATCCAGCACTTGTGCCTGTCTGAAAACAGTATTTCCTCTCTGGGCGAACTGTCCCTGCTGAGGAGCACGCCGCTCCGATCTCTGACCCTCAAACGCAACCCCTGCCAGTTTCTGGAGGACTACCGCTCACGGTGAGAGGAATACAGAGCTAAATGAGGTTTCTTCAAGTTATACCCTTGTTAAAAAGAAGTATGTGTCAGCATGCTTTTAAAAAGAGTACTTATTACAGAAATATTATTTTTTTTAAATAACAAACTTAAGAGTGAACTGAATGTAATGCTTTCAGACACTTGATTGCATGCTATTAGCAATTAAAATAAAATGTCTAATAATTAAGTGTTTTTGACCCAAATTAAGTAGGACTTTAAGTACATCTTTCTATGTAATTTCTTCTGTTGTGTTGTGCTGTTCCAAACCTGTATGAATTTTCTTCTGTTGAACACAAAATAAGATATTTTGAAAAATGTTGGTAACCAAATAGCTGCTGGTATTTTGTTCCATACTATGGAAGTCAATGGCTATCGACAATATCGGAATATCTTTTATGTTTCACACAGTAACGTAACTCGTACAGGTTTGAGGGTGAGTGCATGATGACAGATTTTTCATTTTTGGGTGAACTATGTTTTTATGTTTGTAAAGAAACATAGCCATGAAAGTCTTCTCTAAGTACACTTAAGTTGCCATTTATTTAATTTATATTATATTATCTGCAAGTAGATTTTTTTAAATAAACTTTTAAGATTTGAAGTGCACTACATGTGCACATTCAATGCAGTTGAGTGCACTTTTTTCACAAGAGTATATAGAAGAACACCACTGAGCTTTTAATAACTTGCTGTCAAAAAGCAGACTGATTAAAACTAATCAGCCAATTACAGCTTTTAATTAATCTAAAAAGCCATACAGCGTCTGTCTCCAAAATCACATTATGGGACAATGTCCCAAGTTAATAGCGATGGCAGAAGATAATATCATGATTTACTAAAAAAAGAGCTGACCAAAAATGTAATAGATCTTTCCAAGGGTTCAAAGAGAGCCAGGAGAATAATTTCTAAGTCTGTCTAATCTAACCTTGAGATTCGTTTGCTCTGCAGTGTGTTCTCTTGTTTGCCAAAACTCCAAGTTCTGGATGGCATCCCAAAGCTACTGGAAGATTCCGTGCCTCCCTCTTCACTGGCAGCGTCCAGATTTTGTACCATTCTCTGATGTTGAAACAGCTGAACCTGAAGCCAA